GGGGGGGGGGGGGGGTTGCTCTGTGACTTTGTGGCGGGGGAGGGCAGTTACAGATCTTATGCAGCGGTCCTTATCCTGGCTCACAGATCCACGCAGCAGGGGATCTGTAACCCTACCCCCCCTGCCAGAAAGTCACATAGCCGACACATACACACAGTCCCCCCCAGGAGTGCTGGCAGGCTCCATTGAAATAACCAGTCCACCAGTGCGGAGCCTGTCATTCCGGGAGTTTAGAAGTATCATTTGCATCAGAACACTGAACCCGCCCCCCGCCACAGTCTGCGTCCCCGGTTTAAAATATTCCCGCGAAAACAGCAATACAGACAACGGTGTTCATTAAAAAATCGAAATGATTTTATTTTTTGGGAAGGGGAAGGGGGTGAAGGTTGTATGTAACTGGAGAGGATAGTCAAAATGAACTGGGTAAAGAAACGGGGGCAGGTTCAGCTTTTCTGTCCACAAACTGAAAAGTCACTGGTTGCCCTGCTCACTCAGGAACCTAGCTTTCAAAGCCTCCCGGATGCACAGGGCGTCCCGCTGGGATCTTCTAATGGCCCGGCTGTCTGGCTGGACGTAATCAGCAGCCAGGCTATTTGCCTCTAGCTCCCACCCCGCCATAAAGGTCTCCCCCTTGCTCTCACACAGGTTGTGGAGCACACAGCAAGCTGCAATAACGATGGGGATATTGGTTTCACTGAGATCACAGCGAGTGAGTAAGCTTCTCCATCTCCCTTTGAGACGGCCAAAAGCACACTCCACCACCATTCTGCACTTGCTCAGACGGTAGTTGAACAGTTCTTTTTCTGTGTCCAGGGCGCCAGTATAGGGCTTCATGAGCCAGGGCATTAGCGGGTAGGCTGGGTCCCCGAGGATGACTGTAGGCATCTCCACATCCCCAAGAGTTATTTTGTGGTCTGGGAAGTAAATACCTTCCTGCAGCCGTCTAAACAGACCAGAGTTCCTGAACACGCGAGCGTCATGAACCTTGCCCGGCCATCCGACGTAGATGTTTGTAAACCGTCCCCGATGGTCCACCAGTGCTTGCAGCACCATTGAAAAGTAGCCCTTTCTATTGATGTACTGGCTGGCCTGGTGGTCCGGTCCCAGGATAGGGATGTGAGTCCCATCTATAGCCCCACCGCAGTTTGGGAATCCCATCGCGGCAAAGCCATCTATGATGACCTGCGCGTTTCCCAGGGTCACTACCTTTGGGAGCAGTACCTTGACGATTGCCTTGGCTACTTGCATGACAATAACCCCCACGGTAGATTTGCCCACACCAAAGTGGTTCGCGACTGACCGGTAGCTGTCCGGCGTTGCAAGCTTCCAGAGGGCTATGGCCACTCGCTTCTGGACAGTGAGGGCTGCTCGCATGCGGGTGTCCTTGCGCTTCAGGGCAGGGGACAGCAACTCACAAAGTTCGAGGAAAGTCCCCTTCCGCATGCGAAAGTTTCGCAGCCACTGGGATTCATCCCAGACCTGAAGCACTATACGGTCCCACCAGTCCGTGCTTGTTTCCCGGGCCCAGAATCGCCGTTCAACAAAATCCACATGCCCCATTGCCAACGTCATGTCCTGGGCGCTGGGGCTCGTGGTTTCTGACAGCTCTGTGCCACTCTCCGACTTCAGGCTCTCACGGCGGTGCCGTAGCCTCCTCGCCCGATTTCTCTGCATCTGCCTCAGGGAAAGGTGTATGATAAGCTGCGAGGTGTTGAGAACGGCCACAAGTGCAGCGATGGTCGCAGCGTGATCCATGATCGCAGTGCTGTGGCGTCCGCGCTGTCACTGACCAGAAAAGTGCGCGAACTGATTTCCCGCCGGCGCTTTCATGGAGGGAGGGAGGGCGTTAGTGACGGACGGATGACGACAAATTTTTTTTACCCAGAAGGCATTGGCGGCTCGACCCAGAATTCCGATGGGCAGCGGGGACTGCGGGAACTGTGGGATAGCTGCCCACAGTGCACCGCTTCCAATATCGACGCTCGCCCCGTTAGTGTGGACTCACAAAGTCGAATTACTGTCCTTAGTGTGTCCTTAGTGTGGACACACACGTTCGACTTTGCAATATCGATTCCACATATTCGATTTAAGTAAAATCGAATTACCCTCGTAGTGTAGACATACCCTGAGTCTATTAGGATGGATGGTACTCAGTTAATGAGAAGGTGTAGAATATTTTGTTTTATCTTCATTGTTCAATGTGTAGCCCTAAGCCTTTTACTGCACAGTGCATACTATGTAAACCAGGGGTTACCAAACTGGGGGTCAGGACCCTTGGGGTCACAAGGTTATTACATGGGGGGGAGGGGTTGCGAGCTGTCAGCCTCCCCCCAAATCCTGCTTTGCCTCCAGCATTTATAACGGTGTTTAATTTAACACTTTTTTTATCTATATTTATGAGGGGGGTCACACTCAGAGGCTTGCTATGTGAAAGAGGTCACCAGTACAAAAGTTTGGGAACCACTAATGTAAACTCTGCTCTGAAAACAATTAATTTCCTCAAACTTTTATGGCTCTCATGACCGTAGTGTTTCACAAACATTGGTTCTTTATAAAACTCCTGTGAGGTGAGGGGATGGCGTTATCCCCTTTTACAGACTAAGGGTGCCTAACTTGAGTTACCTATGACCTGATTTTTCAGAATATATAGCACTCTGTATATTCCAGCCCAGCTGCCATTGATTTCAGGTGCAGCCCTAAGTGCTCAGCACTCATGCAAATTTGACCTTAAGGCAGGGGTCTCAAAGTCCCGGCCCACAGGCCATTTGCAGTCTGAGAACCTCCCCAATGTGGCCTGCAGGGCTCCAGCAATTTTGGGGTTGGGTCTCTGCCTTAGCCCCACCTGCCACCCCTGGGCACTCCCTTTCCCTCCCTTCCCCCCGCACATCCCCCAGCTGACTTTAAAATGGCCCAGGGCCCCGCCCACCACCAGCAGTGCAGCAAAGCTGAGCAGCTTCCTGCAAGCTGGCTCCATGTGGCTGCTGGCCCCTCCCTGAGGCCCCAGGGCAGGGCGGGGCTGTGCCTCTGTGCGCTGCCCCTGCCCTGAGTGCCCCTGTGGCCAATGGGAAGCTGCAGGGGCGGTGCCTGGGGGCAGCAGCACACCAAGGCCCCCCAACCTGCCTTCGAGCCCCAGATAAGCGCTGCACGCCCCTGACCCCCCCCCTCCCAGAGCCTTTAACCTCACTCCCTCCTCCTGCACCCCCACCTCTTGCCCCAGCCCAGAGCCTGCACCCAGGTGTCTGACGAAGTGGGTATTCGCCCACGAAAGCTTATGCTCCAATACATCTGTTAGTCTTAAAGGTGCCACAGGACTCTGTTGCTTTTTACAGATCCAGACTAACACGGCTACCCCTCTGATACTTGTGGGAAAAGCGCATCTCTTCATGACGAACCACCTGAGCTTTTTATATACTCCATGCAGGTTCTGGTGCTGCCGAGAAGGCAGCATCTGCTTTTCCCCAGGGAGATTACTCATGAATCCGGGAAACTGAGTAGCAGATACTACCTTCTAGCCACCCTGGAACCTGCATGGCGCATATAAAAAGCTAGGGTTACCATACGTCCGGATTTTCCCGGACATGTCCGGCTTTTTGGTCCTCAAATCCCCGTCCGGGAGGAAATCCCAAAAAGCCGGGAAAATAGGGAGGGAGGGGTCGTGGGGCCTTGGTGCGTGCTGGGGCTGCTCGGCTAGAGCCGGGGCCTGAGCCGAGCTGGGCTGGAGCCGCTGGGACCGGGGCCGGCGGTGCCTGGGCTGCTGGGACCGGCGGTGCTCGGCCGGAGCCGCTCGGCCGGAACCGGGGCCCGAGCTGGGCCAGGGCGGGCCGGAGCCGCTCGGCCGGAACCAGGGCCGGCGCCCCAGGGCCCGAGCCGGGCGGGAGACACCGGGGCCAGGGCCGGCTGCTGGAGGGAGCCGCTCGGCCGGGGGGGCCGGACTGGGCCACGCCTCCTCATGCTATTGTTATGAGTGTAACATTTCAAGTTCCTGCTCCAAAGACTGGGGGTGCCAGAATATTTCAAAGAAAAGGTCCTGAGAATCTTTTAATACAGGGAAAAAATAACGAAGGGGAAAAATATTGTTTTGTCCTAACTTCATTTTCAGCAACAGCTGAACCATTTTGGCTGGAACTTTATATTTAAAAAAAAAAAAAAATAGCTTGAGACAGACACCCAGGATAGAACATTTCAGTCCAAACAGTTAAAGGAATTGAAAATGGGGTCTTTAAATAGGAAGTGTCAGGCAACCTTAATATTAATTTAAAGGAAGATTGTATAAAACTGGGCTCTATTCCTGTTTGGCATTGTTTTTAATTATTGTATCATTCTTCTCTTTCAGATGATATTAACGGTGTTCTTGAGCAACAATGAACAGATTTTGACAGAAGTTCCAATTACACCAGAAACAACCTGTCGAGATGTTGTGGAGTTCTGCAAAGAACCTGGCGAAGGAAGTTGCCATCTGGCTGAAGTGTGGCGTGGAAATGGTAAGCGAAGTGTTCTTTGGTAACCGATATAAATTGCATATTTTTTAAATTACAAATATAGGTTTTATTACTTATTTTTAGTTGTATTTTGCTTTTGCTAGAACATTTTTGCAGAATATTAAGATTTCAAATTGTCACAACTGTAAAGATAAATATAACCCTTGCTGATTTTTCCCTTGTCCCTTCCTAGCTTGGAATATTTTTATAAAATGTACATGGAATGCAGTAGACAAACAATAAATGTCTCTAAGGTTATATGAGACACTTCAGTTTTTTAGACTAAATAAACAGTTATACTGAACATTTTACTTAAGCAGAAATTTAGTTTTGTAAATTATTCATTTTGGGCTTGGTTTACAAGCTAAAATATCTTCTCTCCTCCTTCCCCCCCCCCATTATCAGACCTGCAAACCCAACTGGAATCTAAAGCTACAGGTGCTCTACAGGCTAGGGGTGTGATTACCTTGCTCATGTACACATACTAATGCCAGCTCTCATTGAGCTAGCCCATGTATAAATAGCAGTGTACCCACAATAGCATGGGTGGAGGCATGGTTGAGGCGTGCTGAGTACAAACTCGCCTGAGACCAATGGAAATGTACATATTCAACACAGCTCAGCTGTGCCACTGCACTCTAGCTTCCTCTTTTCATGGAAGCTTCATTTCTGGTGATAGCCAGTGCTTCTGGTTCTGGGTTGTGATGTCTTGTATCTAATTTTCCATAAAGAAGTGGGTTTTCCATATGTGTCCCAGTCTCCTTGTTTAACCTAAACCATGAAATCTCCCTAACTTCTCTAGCCTTGCTTTGTGATTGGGGAAGATTGGGTGGCATTCTTCAGACATCTGTAGAGCCCTTCCAGAGTAAGCTGTTCACATAATACTGAAATCCTATTCTCTTTTCATTAATTTCAAGATTCTGTAAAGGTGAGAGGTCTCAATGTGTCGTCTCCTACCAGATGAGAACCCACCTCTAACATTTTTATGTCTTAATGGGGGTGTGTGTGTGCTCCTTTCTTCCATGGGCACAGCTCCCATGTTGAGTTAAACTCACAGGTTGGGTGTGCACAATACTGGGCTTTTAGAAATCCAGCTCCAAGTTTAAGTATAAATGTACAGTGCAGTATTTCTCCTGTGAGGGGGAGTAAAAATGCAAAACTTAAAGTATCTCTCCAGTTCTTTAGACACTCCAGTGAATGGCACTGAAATCTAATGCATCTCCCCCGCCCCAACCCCACAGCACTGTATGGTATTTGTCTTAATTACCTCCTGGCTCTGTGTAGAGTCTACATTCCATTTTTGAATTGTGTCCAAGGGCTGGAGTATAAATTTAGTTCAACTAGTCTCAATCATACTAGCCTCAAGCCTCAACAGGACTCCTAGTGATGTCAGTGGAAGGTTTGCAAAGGATTGGGGGTAGAATATGGCCTTTAACTTTACTTACTATTGCTAAGTGCATTATCAAATTCATTGTCACTAAGTAGGAAGAGATAATACATTTAGGTCCATCCCTCTTCTTGTTTTTCTCTTTTTTTTTTTTTTTTTTTTTTTTTTTTTTCTTTCTTTGGGCTTGGCTACACTTGCGAGTTAGTGTGCAATAAAGGAGCCCCGTGCGCACTAGCTCACTACCCATCTACACTGGCAAGACACGTAGAGCACTCTGACGCCGCGGCTAGAGTGCTCTTGGTACTCCACCTCAGTGAGAGGAATAACATTTGCTGCACCCCTGCTGGAGCGCTGCGGTGCCAGTGTGAACGAGGTGTTGCATTACTGCGCTCTGATCGGCCTCCGGAAATGTCCCATAATCCCCTTAAGTCAAGTGGCCACTCTTGCCATTTCTTTGAATCGCTGCAGAAATGCAGAAGTGCCCTTTGAAAGCTTGTTTCTGACAGCCAGCTGCTTATCTGCTCCGAGACAAATCAACCATTACTGTGGGTGTGGGGGGGGGGGGGGGGGGGGGGGGGGGGGGCGGGGGATCTGCTGCTGTCTGCACTTACAAGAGAGCATGCTGACATGCTCTCAACCCCCCAAAAACCCACTCTTTCTCCCCACATACACAACACACTCCCTGTCACGCTCCATCCCACCTCTCCCATTTGAAAAGCACGTTGCAGTCACTTGCATGCTGGGATAGCTGCCCATAATGCACCACTCCCAGTGCTGCTGCAAATGTGGCCACGCCAGTGCGCTTGAAGCTGTCAGTGTGGACAGACTGCAGCGCTTTCCCTACTGCACTCTCCGAAGGCTGGTTTAACTCAAAGCGCTCTACATCTGCAAGTGTAGCCATGCCCTTAGTGTATTCTCATTTCTTCTTTCTGAATGTCTCTCCTCCCTTTTTAAAGATCAGCAATAGAATAGTTACTTAAAATGTCAGCATTATCATTTAACCTTTCAATTAGATTAATGAAAGATGGGGGAGTTTACACCTGAGTCATTGTTTCAGACTCTCTCTGCAGCCTTGAGAATATACACTTCCATTGTTAAGAAGCAAGCTTCTAACCCTCATGGATGCACAGAAAACTTTCTAAATGTGAACCAAGTGTAATTGAGGGTATTGTCTTCCTAAGAATCTGAATGTCATGTGGACTGCATAAATAAAGTGGACCTGCAAGTAAGGAGTTTGACACCACTGGAATAGGTCTAATATTTTGAACAGTTTTCAGCTAAAATAGAATACAGAATCTTCTTAGCCCTTCATTCTGTTCCTGTCTCTACCGCCGAAGTATCAGTCTTGAGGATGAATTTCTTGGAGAGTTCAGAGAATGTAGTATCAACTAGTTACAAAAGATTACTTGGCAAGTGATTTATTCAGACACCCACTGGATATTTTTTAAGTTTCTAATGTTTTGGTGAGACTGGCAGGGTACAGCCTGTGTGACCAATATAGGCACAAGCTTTCTATAATAACTAACCAGATCCAGTGAAGACTACAACTTCATGGTTGTAGTTCATGACCTTTTCAATGTGCTGAACACTTTGGACAAGGAAACTATATCAGCTTCAGGATTATCTACAATATTCTCCTCCTACAAAGAGTTTAGTAAAAACTTGAACGATCTCTCAAAGCAGACATGTAGCTTCTGCTGTATGGGCTATCAAACTGTTTGATATGCTCATTGTGATGCTGGCAGACCAGGCACCAGCTCATGCCAAGGTCCCCATGTCTCAAATTAATCCTAACAGATACATAGCTGGAATTTGTCTGGCTCACTTGTGGATTGATATTGATAAAATAGATATTAGAATTAAAAGAAAGTGTTCAGTGTTTGGACTCTGTTGAATGCTTGTGAGTTGCTCCATGTTTTAATATTGCATGTAATATCTGTGTTCAATATTGTACTCCTGGGGGAATTCTGTGCCACTGCACACATGTAGAATTCATGTCCTGTGCCAATTTCTTTGCTTCCCTACAGAAAAATGACTTTCTTACAGGGAAGCAAAGGGAAGCTGCAAGAGCAGTCATGCACCCTTCCCCAGCAGCACGGGCATGTCGTTTCAGGCACCCGGAGAGGTAAACCACTGGGGTCGCAGGGCCATCTGCCTCACATCCATGCATCCGGACCCCCCCCCCAGCCTCACCCGGTCAAGCCTCATCCCCTGCATCTGGAGCCATCCACACCTGGCCTGCTACCTATGCTGGGCTGAGCTGCTAGTCCTAGCTGGGCTGAAGGTGGGGGAGAAGCACACTTCCCCTGCACGGATTGGTTGGGTCCGGGTCAGACCCACCCCCAGAAACCTCCCCTGGCTCCGCCCCCCCACCTTGCTTCCTGCCCCCTTTGCTCCTCAACCACGGGTGCAGGGGTCACTGTACAGGGAGATGCTCCCCTGTCTGCCCTGCACTCAGACGACCCCCTGCTGATCCCTGTGCACTCAAACCCCCATCCTGATGAGCCCCACCCCATGCACCTGGACCACCCCACAAGCCCCCTGCACCCCCACCCTGTTGACCCTCAATCAGCTGTACCTGGACCCCATCCCACCAAGGCCCACTCCCCTGCTGAGCCACCTAGACCCCCCCCACTGAGCCCCATTGCTTGTGCACCTGGAACCCCCCTAACAAGCCCCTGTGCAACCAGATTGCCCCACCATGTAGAACCCTCTTACCTGGATTTCTCCCCCACTAAGCCCCTCCACACTTGGATTCTGCCAGACTGAGCCTGCCTGCCCACACCTATTGAGCCTGGTGAGTTGCTTCACTTGCTACTCCTGAGGGAATTCTGTGCCAAAAATTAAGAACTCACCCGGACACAGACTCTGGGGCAGGCCCAGCCTTTGCTCTGTGTCAAATTTGGGTGCAGCCTCACCATCGAGTCTGTGTGCCAGGATGGGGCTGCAGAGTGATCTCCCATCTCTGTGCAGCTAGTCACCTGTGCTCCCTGCTGCCATGCTGGAGCCTCCACATTTATTTATTGACAAATAAAATTTGCAGAATTTTAAAATATTGTGTGCAGAATTTTTATTTTTTGGTGCAGAATTCCCTCAGAGTAATATTATAATGTATTATCTGTTTGAGAGGTCGTTTGGTGATTCACAGAAGCTCACAATACAGAGGAGAGACATCAATTAGCATGAAGAGCTGCTCTTCTACAGAAATTGTTATGCCCTGCTCAAAAGAGGAGACCCATCGATACCAGAGGGCTTTGGCTCTTACAACTGGAAACTCTCTATATCTCGACTGAGAAACCATCATCAGGACTAACAGCTCATATTGTTTTGCTCTCCTCACCCTGAAGACGTGTCATGCAAGTCAACCCCTCCCATCAGCTGACTTTGTGGCTCAGAGCACATGGTATGAGGGGGATAAAACCAAAGGAATCAAGGATCTCTCTGCTGCTTGGACTTGTTGGGGGAAGTGGGCAAAGTGTTTCTAGGCACAAGCAAGAGATAATCAGCTGCTGAGCCTGGGTTAGCCTTTAAGGACAAATAGAGGTTGCTGAATATAGAAGCCTGTATCACCTTTTGGGAGACTGGGCAGCAAAATGGCAGATAAATGCAAAGTAAT